ACTGAGACTCAATTCAGTGAATTGCTACTCATACTAAAATTTTACAGCTCATTTGACCTGCAAGACACTTAGAAAATTCTAATTTCCTTTTAGAGGTTTGGAAAAAAGTGATTTTGATGTTCAACCATTTTAAAAATATAATAATTAGGAAATTTTAAAAATGTTTACATCTGTTATTCATAAATATTTCCAATAAGCCAGCATTTCCAAAATGAATCATCACTAACCTGGAAGCATATTACCTGCTTTACACATTTGGCATTGCACAATCTGACAATTGGCAATCTGACTTGTCATGGTAAGGAGGATGTTTCTCTGTACAATGCTCCTGTGTATGAGAGCTGACAAGCAAATAATTCAACTACATGAAGAAAAAAGGGCAAAATCTCATTCATCATGCTAACAGAGGAGTCCTTTTACAGGCATTAACTGGGACACTTGGAAACATTCAACTAATGAACTGTACAATTTACAAACATATGAAGGAATACAAAATAGATAAGCTTTCTTCAACACTAAAAAATGGTGCATAAGTGATCCAAGTATGCCATTGCCAGGTTACTTCAGGGTGTAATAAACCTTAGGTAAAAGATAGAAAAAATTACAACAGGTATTATATCTGTTTTTCTAGGTCACATTTGTGATCTGTGCATAAAAGAAGAGAAAGCAGTATTTTATTCATCTGTCTTGAGATGGCAAAAGGCTCAGATAACTCTGAGGTGACCCAAAAGAAATGGAAACCATTAAATGGTAGCCACAGTATTTCTGCCTAACGTGTTTAGGACTGCTATATCAACCTCCGAGAGTAAAAAAAAGAACTACAATAAACTTCAGGGTACAGTCTCAAGAATTACATCAGGATTATGTGAAGTGTCTCACTTGTCATAATTATTTTCATTGCATGGGTTATGTCCAGCAGACAGGAGGGAGACAGCTGCTTCAAAGAGAACTTTCAGGAACATAATGAATGGGCCATAGAACCTTATCTATCAAATCCATCTAAATTTTTAATGAAGTTCTCTTTCATTTTTTGCTTTAAAATATACACAGCTGACTCAAAGATTTCAGCAGCTAATGCCAAATGTTTTTGATACATCATCACAGTTGTCTCATATTTAAAAATGTCAGCATGGTACAGGTTAACACCCAGGAAAGATTCATCAGTTATATCCTTGGTTCTACTAACAATTTTCAAACTGATTTCCAGAAAAATATAACTCACCTATATTTGCTTGTGTGAAAAGAGGTCAAAATGATACCTTTGGGTTCACAAACATCCTACACCTGAATTAGTCTTATTGTTCAAAGGTGAGGTCCATGCAGACACAACCTTTATCATTATACCTAAAAGCACATCAAACAGGTGTCATGCTCACTACTAGAGTGCCATGGACCAAGTGAAAAAGGTGTGTGGATAGCAAACTTAAGCAAACAGAAAGTGTTTTAAGATTAATTTAGTAATAAAAGTTTAGAGAGACACTTCACACTACTATGGAATTCAAATTTGAAAATTAAATATATTTAAGAAACTGAAATTTTTGTGGTTGGGTTTATCAAGACCTTGTCCTGTCTTGATTGAGCAGAGCAACTCTGTATCTGTTTAATAACCAGGCCTGTTGGAAATTCAACAATAAGGTGTTCTTAAATCTAGGTGCCTTAAAGATCTTAAATCCTCTAATGCATTTTGCATATCTCTAAAATAGATGCACAGTACTGAGCAGAAAATCATTTATTCAAATACATGTTGATGTCTGTGAAAATAGGTCATGAAGTTATGACTTATCCCCCCAGGGGTTATTCCTTCATCAGGGGGATGTTATTCCACTGGAGGTTTCACCTCTTACTACTGCATACTAGCATATGACAACACCTCCCTTCAGAATAACTTCTGTTTTCTTATAGGCCAAAACATTCTAAGTTGCAGTCATCAGCAGGCAGGCTTTCTTACATTACTGAATTTTTTACACCCTAGGAAAAAATCCATTGCACCCCTGTAATCACCAAAGTTCACTTTAAGAGGCGATTATACTTAAAGGTTTCTTTTTCCTATTTTCAAAAAGGAAAGGTATAATTCTAATAATAGGAAAATAAGAGTGGGAGTAGCAAAAAAGCAAGTATACAGCTGAAATGCGATGATAAATATTACTAGGAGCAAGGTTCATCCTTTAACATTGAGGCAGTGGGCTAATTCAGGAATCTTGCTTTGCCTTTCTGAGTGCTCTCAGTCTGTATCATCTTTGTGACTGTGTTCAAATAAAATCCCCCTGTCTTTCCTCATACACCTTCGGAAAAGTTATTCCACTGAAAGCACAGCTTTTCTATTTGTACTGCCTCAGGTTATAATGATTCACAATTTATCTACATCCTGCTTTCTGTAATATGTCACATCTCAGAGAAGAGCATGAAACTGCATCTTTACCACACTTGCCCCATATAATTCATCATAGAAAATCACTTTCTTCTCATCATGGAGACCACTTAAAACATATTAATAATACCATGGAAAACTTGACATTTTGAAAGGCACACTTTTTACTTGCAGAAGTTTTTGGCATCTTAAATGTCTATTGACATTCCTCATGAGATTTTGTTGTGGGTTCTTATTTCTTTTTACTTATTGCATCAGTCTTTGAAGAAATTATCTAAAGCAACAGACTACACACTAGGCTGTTTAGAGCACAATACCCTTCCCAGGTCTTTTGTTTGAGCTAAAATACAGTGTAACTAGGCATAGAAATTGTAGAAGGAGAAGTGCAGGCAGAGGAAAAGAGCACATAAATTTCAAGCAGCTTGATTTAATAACCTACTGATTAATTCATTCAGGGTCTAATTATCAAACACACCAGGTAGAGATTCAAGAATATCACAACCAGCCATCCTAATTAAAAAGATAAAAGTTTGATTATTTCTAAATTACAGAAACAATTATGGAAGGATAAGTAAAGCTATGGAAATATTAGACTATTGAAGCACAAGTGTACTGGGTAAGACCACAGCCCATATAGATCCATGTCTGGCCTTTCAGTGGCAAGCAAAAGAGTTCCTTTGTGGGATGCAAACAACATCCATTTTACTTTCAGAATTTCTATCTAATTCCTTTTCAATTACTTTAGACATCAGAATCCCTTTTCAGATTATGATCACAGCTCGTTCACTATGATAGAAGTTAGGCTGGTAAAAAAACATTATTAATTAGAGGAAAGGGTTCAAGGCAGATTTGGAAAAGAGGGAGTGGTTTTGCTTAAGTGATCTTGAGGCTGGGAATACCAGAGTGGGAAAACTCCATTTATTACACCTACTCCTGCTTTATCTTCTGCCTGTCTTGAAAAGCAGAATTCCTGCATAGAGATAACACATTCTCACAGACATGCCTGAGCCTCCTGCTGGGAGAGAGAGATCAAAAGCTCAGAGATCATAAAAAGCACACGGCATATTGGTAAACTACTTGTGCGCTAGTCTTTTGATAAATTGGTGGAAACAAGAGGCCTGCCATGGGCTAGGATCAGCTAAGCCTAATAGTGCATGCTGTTCTTGCTTGTGGCTCTGCCTGGGTTTTGCTTTAGGATCCTCCAGGCAGCCAGGTAATTAAATAAATTTACTCTGCATTTCAGCCATGGCTTGATGGTTGTCTTGGCAACCTACTTGTCCCAATTCACACATTCTTTACACAGGAGTTTGCAACAGAGTATCAAAATAGCTTGTTCTTAACAGGGATTATGTTGTGAACTATCACTATTTCAACCCTATTACAACAATTTTCATCAATAGTGTACCTTGTTTTTCTAACAACTACACTTGCTTATTAATCAATGTACTAACGTACTAATGTACATTACTAAAGTACTAACGTTTAAAAATTATGCTTATTCATGAACCTGTATGTTTGGTCCTCCTTTCTGATCAACTGAAGAATATAAAAACTTTTTTTGATAAATTTATTAATTTTTATTTTTAATTTTTTTCCATTGTAATACAAAAAAGAAACACATATTTTAGAAATGTAGCTCTGTCATAGCATGCTCGTTAGCACTGTCTAAAACTCACTTTTCAGAAATAATTGAGAATATTTTGCTAAGATGTGTTAAGAGGCTCTCATACTTGATGAACTGTAAATGTTTTTTTAAACAGTTACCTTAGTTTTCATTTAATCCCTAAGTCTCTTATTTTGTAATGTACAATTGTGCTTTCACTTACCCAGAGGAAAGGAGGTGGGAATTTGTATTTACAGAATTATAATACCACTACAAAAAGAAACCTAAATGGAAACAATAAAGCTGAGTTGCTTTCTTTTTCTTAGTGTATTAGTAATGGGCTTTGTCATTTCCTCAGAGAGGCTGTCCTAATCAGCTAGTTAAATGGATAGGTTTTCTAAATTAACCATACATATCTAAATCTCATATTTTTCAGTTACAAGCTTCAAGCAATTCTTGTGTCAAGAATACACTGAAAGATTTCACTTTCTTTCCCATTACTCCTCTCATAACAGGGAAGCAGATTGTGCCTTGTGATCTTTACATCTATCTTAGGAGCAGAAAGCAGAATGGAAAGTGGTACCATGGCCTTATTCTGTCTTAAGAGTATAAGATCACTTCAGGTATATGAAAAATTTTTCCACTAGTGAAAGCCTAGGTGCAACAAAGCTCATCAGTCTAAAGGTAGAGCTTGTAAAATGTGTGAATGGGATAGCTCAATATAATTGTTGGTTTGGGCTGTGCAGTGATCAAAAGCAATCAAGCTGAAACCATTTAATTTAAGAAAGAGAATCTGTTAATTGAGAGCTCTCTTAGCTCTGGAGTCATGTTTGCTCAATTTGGTTTTGTAATGCAGGACCAGCATCTTGGTTGGGGCTGTTTTCAGGTGAGCCCTCTCTAGCCCAATGGTCACATAAACCAGAAGGAAGCCCTCCCTACAGAAATCTCCCTTCCCACTTTGGAAGGCTCAAATTTTTCCTTTTAATTTCTGTGATGTGGAGTAACTTTCCTCTCTTTGCATTTTTGCAGGCTGAGTGTGCAAATGCTTATGTCTTCTGCTGCTCTCCCCAGCCACTACTGATTTGACCTACTCTCTCTTCAAGCACACAAACTAAGAAGACCATGGAAGTTCTCTGCAATCCCACAAAACTTACTCTCCCTGGATTCATGATGTCTTTCAACTTCTTAAGATGATCTCAGCTTATTAAAGTTATCTGTGATTGCAATAGTTGCAAAACTGATTCTGCTGTGCCACTATTGGGGAAAAAATTTTCTTATCATAAAACTGAGTCTGCCCTGTGTAGTGTCTGACTTGTATCTCTCCTCAGCTCATGCTTCATCTGCATTTGATACCAAATATCATCTAATACACGGATGAAACAATCACAGATAGGGAAATTAAAAAAGAATTTTTTTTTTAAAAAAAAGGATTAAAAAGATAGGGAAAAATTCCCTAAAAGATCATGGAATTGTTTAAATGTTAGAGAGATGTATATGTTAACAGTACATTGACCCATTCTTCAACCTGGCTCAGATAAAATTCTCCAAACAGAGTAACTAATGTAATATGCACCAGATGTAGAAGGACACAGCCTTCCCCAGTCCACACATATTTGTTAATGCAATTTCATCACTCTCAGTACACCAGCACCATATATTGCATGGATCATTATCCATAGCAGAACTTGATGCAGCAGCACCCTGAAGAACATCATGATAATACTTTTTCTGCAGGTGTTACAGACTTAATCACACAGTTATACCCAGACCAAAATTGAGAAAAATATGTAAGGTTTAACATGACTGGATCTGGATATAAGGACAACTACACAGATAATAAAACCAGGAAAATGGAATTTCTTAGGATGAAAATATTAGAAACTTTCCAGTATAGTCGACTTTAATAAAAGTGTCTTCCAAATCCTCTTTAATTTGGAGCCAAAAATTGCCTTCTGCAAGAACATTGCATTTACCACTGATAATAAACATGGACCAAATCCCTGACATGGGAATCTCTGAAGTTTCAAATTAAAAGCAATGAACAGGGTTTTTTAGTTAATGAATTTTGTATGTATTCTTGAGAGTAATTTTTAGCATGAAAAGGAACTGTCAATTACTTGGGTTGCTAGAGTTCCTTATGAATATCTCATGTTTCTAAATTGTAAATCCTCAAGGGAGAGAAAATTTGATATCCTGGGACTTGCCTTATATTTTCAACCTCTGTCCCCTGTGTAATGGCCCTCAGTGGCAGTGATCAAAAGCAATCAAGCTGAAATAATTTAATTTAAGAAGAAAAATCATCTGCTAATAGAGAGCTTTCTTAACTCTGGAGTCAAGTTTGCTCAATTTGGTTTTGTAATGCAGGACCAACAAAGACACTGGAAAGTTTAAATTTTATATAATTTTTAATGATGATTGGTGAATTCTTTAAGAATATTAAAGCATGTATTTTATTTATTTTGTGATTTATAAGATCAGTTACTATTTCAGGCCAGCAACTGTTCTTCTCATTTTGAGTCACAATTTTTTTCAGGTATCTACTAAACAGCATTTTTGGATGATATGAGATTTTTTTTTTCATAAATTGGAAAATTATAATTTTTAAAAATGCTCTGGGATTTGAGAAAATGCTTGATTTAGATTTTTTTTACAATTAGTTTTAAAATGTTATTAATGTTTTCACCAAGCACTGCACATTCTAATAATTTTATGCAGTAGTTTTGCTGTAAATACAGTCACTAATAACTTTTCTGAGGATGGTGAGTCCTGTACTGAAATTAGAAGAAAACCAATTTTCCCTCAGCATTTTAGAACCACATGGCATGTCTCATATAAAAAAAATATTCCAAATAGAGTTTCCAATTAAGCAGTGATTTTAAGGAAGAATAAGGACAATTCTATATTTTAAATTCAGTTGTATTTAAGTTCCCATCATTTTAAGATGAAGGACAGACTTTAAGAACTATAAACACATTGCACTGTCTAGAATATACTCACTTATCAAGTAAGAAAAAAGTATTCATAAATAAAGACTTAAGTATGGATGACTTGGCTGTGGTCATGAAAAAAATTTTGCCCATACAATGTCCCACCATTGTTAAAGTACAAGTGCAGGAGTTTGTTCTTGTGGACCTGATTGTAGGTAAGACACTTGGTTGTACAGTTCTTACTTGCAGGCCAGAAACCAGAAAATTAACATGGGACATCTCAAGATAAGCTGTGAGAAATTTAAATTTTCTTTGGATTTTGCAAGATAAATTGTTAATGGAGATACAATAACCTTAAAATGTAACAGTGAACAGTCCCTATCTTTTCCTTTTACTTATCTTTATAGCTGTACAGATAACAGCTTACAGACATCTTTCTCTAGTCTTTCACTCTGTTTGGGTAAGACGTTGAGACAAGTGCAGTAGGAGACTCAAGATGCTTAAACCTTACCTGTGTAGAGGAGAATGGAAAGAAAAAGGAGAAAAAAATGCAGATTTTTTTTTTATTTTTTTTTATGATATCTGATGACTTAATTGAAGACTTCCATGGAGATTTCCAGAATATCACTATTTTTGTTATAGTGAGGTAATAAAACATTTCTAACCCAATTTTAATGTTGCCATTAACTTGCACTTTCTCTTACATTTGTGCATATTGTTTAGAGCATTTATCTCAGTCTCTGTTTTAGGAAATCTTCATAGATCCCATATTTTCAAAAGTAAGAAATAGCTGCTTAAGCAATCTGACAATCTAAGCTTAATTCTCTGGTGAAACCCATATCTGAAATGATGTATTAATTGCTATAGTAGCAAGTTTTTAATTTAATTTGTCTGAAACTGCTATATGATACTTTAGTCATGTATAGCTACATTTCAGTTGTGTAGTGTTGATCCATCATCTATGTATGCTTTTTTAAAGGATTTTAAATAAAATTTGTGATTCAATTATTAAAAGCATTTGCAAACTCAAGACACTGGATACTGTAAATTATATAATTGCCTCTGTGTGTGTATATATATATATATATATATATATACACACATACATACATACATATACATATACATACATACATACATACATACATACATATATATATATATATATATTTGTTGTGCACACAGACTGACCATAGATGGAAACTATAAGTACACAAGTCTTTACACACTTGAGATACATATGTTATGTACATATATACAGAAAGATACATGGATGAATCAAGCAAATTCTGTCCTAGTAGTTTCTCCCATTACATATGTACACTGTGAGAAGCTGAAGCATTTCTTTCACAGCCTGCCATCCCTTCAGAGAAAAGCAGTCCCTGAGGACTGTACTCTAACCATAATAGGAACAACCTTTGCATTTCTCCATTAATCCTAATTTTATTTATGACATTCACAAGGAAACATTATGTCACTGTTACTAAGCAAAAAACTCCTCTGAAGCATTTTAATATCATTATATGCTTCAAAGGAGGAAGAAGTTTTCATATAACAATTTCATGCCTCTCAAAGCCCTGGAAAGCATATTCCTTTTTTATTTTGGTTTGGGCTTTGCCTGGGTTCCTCCCCCCTCTCTATTATTCTCAACAAAATTATGATTATTTTATTTATTTCATTCTTCTTAGGGTTTTCTGAAAGTTTGCCAACACTTAATAAGACAAAGAACTGCTCCCCCTACTCGAACTTCTGACTCATCCCAGGAATTCAAGGTATAGATTAATTTTCTACTTCAAGACTTTGTATTCTTCTCCAAGGAATTTTCTGATAATACTTGTAAACTTTCAAAGATAAATTAAGATAACAGAACAGAATAAAGAATTCCTTAGAATAGCAGAATAAGTACTGGAAAGAGATGGATATTTTCTTAGATTTTCACTCTTTCCACCTTCCCATAGAACACTTGAGGTAATACAAGGGTCTCCCTCTGATTCCCTCCTCTGTTGCATCAAGACCAGCATTAGTGTTCAAAACCCTGTTAATCTGAGCACTACCTCACAGACAGAAAGTGACCAGTATTTTCCTGAATCTGAGGCAGAAGCTGAGGCAGTCCTGGACACAGTCACAGCTACAATATCAGGGACAAGCATGGAAGGGTGCTGGAGGTTGCAGATCATGCTTTCCACCAGGCAAACCTAATGGAATCAGAGTAGTTTTCTTCCTTCATGTACATGGAGAAAGCATCTGGATATTCACAAACATAGAATTATAGAATGGTTTGGGCTGAAAAGGACCTTACACATCATCTAGCTCCAAAATCTCTGCCACCAGGAGGAAACCTTCCACTAGACCTTAGAGCCCCATGCAGCTGGTCTTGAACATCCCATCGCAGGATGGGCAGTCCACAGCCTCTCTGCTCAACCTGTTTCAGTGTCTCACCACCCTCACAGTAAAGAATTTCTTACTAACATCTAATCTAAACCTACTCTCCTTCAACTTAAATCCATTCCACCCTGTCTTGTCACTACATACCTTTCTAAAAAGTCTCTCTCCCTCTCTGTTAGGTTCCCTTTAGGTGCTCTATGATCTCCCCAGTCTCCTCTTGCCCAGACTGAACAACATCAATTCTCTCAGCCTGTCCTCATAGGAGAGGTGTTCCAGCTCTGTGACTTGGCAGTTCTCTTCTGCACTCTTTGCAACAGGAGCATGTCTTCTTGTGTTGGGAGCCCCAACCTAGAAACAGTAGCCCAGGTGAGGTCCCATGAGATCAAAGGAGAAGAATCACCTCCCTCGACCTGCTAGTCACGAATCTTTTGATGCTGCCCAGGATGCAGATGGCTTTCTGGGAAAAATTTGGAATAAAGAAAAGTTCCTGCCTCCAAATAAATGCAGGCAATCCTTTATCATTTTCCAACTAAAAATACATGTAAAATTTAATTCAGAAAAGATCTGCTCTGGGACAATATGATGAAAAATTTTGTTGGGGCACTGCAAATGTGTGCACATTAATGTCTTAACAGTAATAGATTTTTTTCTATGGTCACTAACAGAGCCATCTGGTTTAACAGTCTTACTCCATGTCTGTTTAGAGACAGCTTCATTTCTAACCTTCTGGTGAACTTAATGGAAAGACACAATTGGCTGGTTTTAATTTACATTCTAAACACAGCATATGACAATTGAAGAAGGAGAAGTTATTTCAGTCTTGACTTATAACTAACATAAATATCTGCAAAATGTATGTATGTGTCTAATTTTCCA